CTAAGGTATTATTTAAGTCTTGGTTGAATCACAGAGTCTTATAAAATTTTTACCAAGGTCAGAGTGTTACCATGATGGGAAGAGGCTCAGCATTGGTTTCTGCTTCTAGATTGGATGCCATGCAGAAATTCTGTCTGTGTGAGAAATGGTAGGATCCTCCTCTGGCCCTTCCTGGTTTAAGTCCTTCCTGTTATGGTATAGCAAAATTTATTTAGGGCAAAAAAAAGGCATGCTCTTACATTAAAATTTTCCTGCTTTTATTATTATTTTTTTCATGATCTTTACATAGTTGATTAGAGCGTAAAGAGTCAAGGGCTACAGGAAAGTGGGCAAGACCATTGTTTCCACAGTCTCTTTTTTCCTTCCTGTGTCTGGGGGGAAGGTGGGAGATAAAGGGAGAAGCTGCACCCAGCCTGCTAACCAGTTCCAGTGTCCCCAGTATGGGGCACGCTTGAAGGCATTGCTCAGGTGGTTTTGATAGCTCAACAGTTCTGAATTGGCTGTGGTTTTGAGATGGCTGTCTGGAGACATTCCTGTTCTTGCTCATTAGCTTCTGGCTTCTAATGTCCCTCAGTTAACCATCCTGGTGTTTAGACTCCCTGTATCTTCTGTGAAACAGGAGATAACTACTTAGCATGGCATGGATCTCACCTGTCGACTGTGTGGCAGTTGTAAGATGTTTATTTCAGTCTTTATGGAAACATTTTTAACCTCATGTTCTGATGAGACCTGGGTTGATTGTTAGGTTGATGTGAATGATTAGAATCTGAAGTTGTGCAGTTTGCAGAGTTTGGCCCTGTATGGATCAAAATGCTTTGAAGAGTTAGGCCAGACCTTGCAAAGCTCTTGAGAGGGCAGTTCTTGAATGTTTTGCCCATTAATCCTTACCTGGAATCCACCTTATGGCCTGACACGTGGTAAAATCAGCAAATATTTGAAGCAATTAAGTAGTCTTTCAGTGTTTTCATTTTTGTTCTCCTGTCTTCATAGCCTTCCTTGTTATGGATTGGTTTAGAAAGGACCAGTTTTTATACCCAGTCCAGCTGTGTAGGGTAAGTGAGAGAAGAAACCTCAGAAGAGAATGGCAGAAAGAAGTGGAAGCTTGGATGGTGTTCCAGGCTTCTGTCTTCTGCCTGGCTGTTTGGGTGGTAAACCACTGGATGTAAGATCTGTCCCTTTTCTTCCCTGTATGTATCTCTGCTTTTCAAATAGTCTTTTTTTTTTTTATAATCTTACATAGTTGATTAGGGTACAGAGGGTCAGGGGCTACAGGAAAGTGGGTTAGACCATTCTTTCCACACTAATATCATTTTTCCCCTGTACCTGCAGTAAGGGGAGAAACAAAGGGAAAAGCCCCACCCAGCTTCCCAGGTCCTCAATGTGGGACATGCTCTGAGGGTCCTGCTCAAGCAATTTTGATAGTTAGCAGGTCTGAATTGCTGCCAATCTCGCTGTTCCAGGCACTATGAAATCTCTTCAGAATACACTAGCTGACAGTGTCTTCATGGTTGGGGTTCTGAGATCAGCACTTCAGTTGCAGGGATCTCCAAAGAAACTTTGTCTGGGATGATCCCAGACCTGATTCTTGTGTGTGCTTGCCAGTATGGAATCTGGCACCATCCGTCACCCCAGTCAGCTTACATGTATGCTGGTGGTTGCAATTGCTGGCTCAGTTCTGTTTCCAGCCACCCCGTCTTCCATGTGAACCCATGGGTGTTGCAGTCTAGTCTGATCCTGCTGATCTTAGAACCCCAACTGTTGCTGGGAATCACCCAGAATTCATCCCTCACCTGTACTCACACTGGCCTTATTCATGGGTTTCCCTAGACAGCAACTACATATCCCAAAAAACCCAGAGCTCACCACTGGACAGCCAGCAGGCAGATCCTCGTGCCTAATAGGCCTAGGACTCAGTCACTGTCTCTTGGTCACTGTCTCTTGGCAGTTTCTTTGGCCTGAGTCCCCAGCATTGGATTTGGCCTGGCTGGGGCACCCCAATAGCAGCCACACTGTAGGGAGCTGCTTTTGCTCCAACCCCATGGCCAAACCTCAAATAAATAAATAAATCTTTAGGAAAAACACTAGATATGAATCTATGAAGCTAAGTTATTATTATATGGAGAAACACGCAGTGTGTAATGTGCTGGAAGTGAGGGAAGGGAGAGCATTGGCTTCACAGAACCTGCTCGTCCCAGGCCTGTCCTTCACTGTTTATGTGACATCAGCTAAGTTACTTAATAAACTCCATCTGTCATTTGTTAATGTGTGAATTGGGAATAACAATACCTCTCCAGTTCTGTTAGATATAAGTTTAAGAAGTGAAAACCCAAATTGATCATAGGAACTATTAACACATTCTACATATGTAAGATTTAAATCAGAGCTATTAGTATTGGTAAGAAAATAATAGTAGTCTTAATATGCTAATAAATGTAATTTTGTTCTAACTAATGTTTTACATAGTTGCAGTTTTAAAATTACAGAGTACATACTGAAATTCATATTTTTTAGAATAACATAAAGTATTGTTATTTAACTTTCATATCTAAAATAGAAAAGCTTTTTTGTAGTTAATGGAATAAATTATCGTACTGTATTTGGAAAAAATTTGCAAATACATTTATCTATAAAGCAAAGCTAGTTTTTGCTCAAACAAAGTAAACTTTTGGTGAATTGTGTCCATTTTTCTTGAATACTAATTTGCTGTTTCCATGTATTTGTAGTTTGTTTATGCCAACTTTATGAAAAATTTGGAAGCATTTTTTAAAAACTCCATATTTATTTATTTATTTATTTGAGTGAGTGTTAGGGATGAAGTGAGACAGAGATAGTTTCTGCCTACCTGTTTACTCTCCAGATGTCTACATTGACCAAATCTGGGTTAAGGCAGGCCGGGTGGAGGAAAATCCATCTGATCCAGGCATGGGTCACAGGGACCCAAATACTTGGACTGAGCTCTGTTTTTTTGTTTTTGTTTTTGTTTTTTAAGGGACATTAGCACTGGAGTAGATCAGAAATGGAGCAGGCAACTCCACTTGGTGGTTGTATAGGATTCTGGCATCATAGGTGACAGCTTGATCTGCTGAATCATTACACAACTCTACAAATTGTTGAAAAATTAGCAGCTGTTATGTTTTCCTCCACAAACTGAGGAACTTTGAACTTGTTTTATTTAGTAGTAGAATATCTCTTGTAGTCTTATTAGAGTACCAGTGCAGGCATAGAGTTTGAAAGTGGCCACTGTTATTAAAGCTACATCTGTTAATATTTAATCCACTCAACCTAATATTGTAATTTTTATTAGAATGTATTTGGAAAAGTAATATGTTGTACATATTAAGCCCCAGCTGTGAGATTTGTTTACACTCTTTGATCGTGAGCAGGCCAAAAGTTTTTAGTGTTTCTGTTTCTCCATCTCTTCTTTTTCTTTTCCCATTGATGGAACTAGAAATTCCAAGTAATCTTTAAAATATTCCTCTTGTATAACTTTGTATTGCTTTTTAAAAAAGATTTATCCATTTTTATTGGAAAATCAGATTTACAGAGAGAAGAATGGATAGAGAGATACATCTTCCACCTGCTGGTTCACTCCCCAATTGGCTGCAGCGGCCCGAGCTTTGCTGATCCAAAGCCAGGAGCCTTCCCTGGTCTCCCGTGCAGGAACAGCTTCCCAAGGCTTTGGGCCATATTTTAATGCTGGATGGGAAGTGGAGCTTTTGGGGCACAAACTGGCGCCCATGTGCAGATGCAAGGCGAGGATTTAGCCGCTGGACCATTGCACTGGGCCCTGCCCTTTTGTGTGCTTTACTTGGAAGTCAGTGTACTACTCATTTGCTTTTAAGATAGGGAAGAAAAAAACAAAATAGTTCTAGAAACAGAATAATTTACCAGTATGATAAATATGTCAGAGTGACACAAGGAGAGGGCAGGGGTTGAGGAGAGATAGACTAGTTTACTTCCCAAATGGCCACCATGGCCAGGGCCGGGACAGGCCCTAGCCAGGAATCTTGAGCTTTATCCGGTATGCTGCTGCTTTTTCAAGTGTCTTATTAGGGAGCTGGAGTGAAGATGGAGCAGCCTAGATGGCAGCCAGCTCCTTACCACGGGATGCCAGCATTGCTGTTGGTGACAGCCTGCTACGTCACAGTGCTGCCTCCCGTCCCCTCCCAAGAGTAGATTTTTATTGTTAACTTTGTTTTTCTGTTTTTTTTTTTTCTTTCACTTTACTGGTTTATTTGAAGGAGGTACAGGGAGTGAGATGTCCTGCACACACTGGTCTTCCCAGCCCCTCAATCCTTTCAATGGCCAGTACAGCAAGCTTCATCTGGGATTCCCACATGGGAACCCAAACACATTGCTCTGCTTTCCCAGGCCATTCAGGGAGAGCTGGATCCTGAGTGGAGCAGCCCAAAAGAAGGTGAACTGGAGCCCAAAGAAGGTGCTGGTGTCTCAGCTAATGACTCTACTCTGTATCACAGTGATGGCTCCAGTTATAAGCTAATTTAAAGAACAGCATGTTTTTTCTGTGAGAAAAATTTGCCGCTTTACTGGACACTCCCATTGTGGAATATTTTATATCCTTAATAAATTCTGCGTTCAATTAGGATAAGATAAACATTTCTTATTCTTTTTTTTTCCCTAAAAATTATATATCAGTCGTAAGAGATTCCTGGTACCCACTTAGGATATATTTTTTATTTGTGTGTGAATTTTATGAAATATGTATCTTTATTATTTCTATTTTAGGTTGGCAACGTTAGTTAGAAAGCATAAATAACTCAAAAGTACATTGTTAGTAAGTGCTAGAACTGGTATTTGATTCCAATCCTGACACACACTTAATATTATGAATTACGGCACAAATCTCATTGTGTAGATTCAGTAAATATTTGTAGGAGAATTGAATGTTACACATTCGTTAGTTTTAAAAATAGAAGTGGTCAGTGGGTGGTCTTTTTCCAGTCTGCCGGAAATTTATATGGTGCTGTTTTCTCCCATAGGAGAGAAGACTGAAAGAAAGAGAAGCCAGAAGAGAAGCCAGCAAGAGACAAGCAAAGGTAAGAGTTTTTGTGCAGTTGTGTGTGAATGTGTGTGTGTTTGTGCAAATGCACCAATGAATGAATGGATTTTTCTTTTTTACAAAGTCGAAGTATAATTGACAGGGAGAGTTCCTATTTCAAGAATAATGTCTGTAGTATTCCAGGTAGTTTGAAATCTACTTTCCATTGTGTATTTCATGTGTGTTTATCTTTTCTAGCTGGATTTAAGCTTATGTGGCCTGTTACTTGTTCTCTCATACTTGTTTGCATCCTCTCTGATGCAGATGACAAAGGCTTGAGATAGGTTGTTCATGGGACTTTGAAATACTGCACTACTTTTTTCCATTCATTTTTGTGCCTCGCCTAGAAGACAGTTGAGTCTGTGATCCAGGCCTCATAGGTTTTGCACCCCTGTCATACTTACACTAGGACATTGGCTTGCTTGCGTGACTCCAACTTTAGTTATCTCCAGAATCATTGGTTGCTTCAGTTGAGCTCTCAGGGGAAAGCTTTCTGTATTTCCTATATTTATTTTGTTCTGAATGCAATAATTTTCAACAAACATGTAAAATTACTCTTAAATATATGTGTACAATTAATATACACCATCCATGTGCAATTATGATTATTATCTGTATCTGACATTGAGTTCAGTTTCTGCATTTTGAGAACATTTACTAAGAATGATTTCCAAGAACCAGGACCAGATAATGTGTTTCATTACTTAATGCTGTATCTCACTGTGCAGTGGCTGACTGGCCATTTCTTCCTGATAGTTAACAAAGGTATGACTCAACAGATTAATCCCATGATGTTTTGTGTCAGTTTTTTCTATCTTTGCTTGGCCATAGCAATTCAAAGATGATAACTCCTCATGCTATACTTCTGACATGGGAAGCAGTAACTCTACAGCACAAAATGAAAAGACCATTTATACTAAGTATCACTGTCTTTAAAGGTACCTGCAAACAAAGTTTGTGAGTTGTGGTTACTTTCAGGATGTTCTAAGAATCATTTGACTGTGTTGATTTTCAGTTTGCCTGTTGATTTTGGAACTTAACTACTTCCTCGATGGTTGGAACTTCACTCTGTAATGCAGTTTCTTGCTCATAAATATTTGTTGATTGACCTAAAAGAAGTGGATCAGGGCAGTGTCATGCTGTAAATATATTTGATGCTATTGAACTTGGGCTGCCTGAAGAATCACAACCTTATCCTTATGTGATTAAATCATGAAGGCTATTGCTGGAATTTATTTTCCACTGCCTTGCCCTTGCTGCTGATAGCATTGCCCTGTGCTAAGAGTGATCTTGAGTATGTCCTAAATAAGCTTTCATCCTAAGGACAGAAAAATAGTTTTCAGAAAACAAATCAGACTCATTACTTTTAAAGCTGCAATGTAGTCCCAGATTATAGCAAAATTTTAATGACTTTCAAAAGGTATTCTAATATTTGTTAGGAAATATTGTGTCTTTTTAAGAAAAATGGAAAGGAAAATGTTTCTCGCCAGGTAAAATCGGGGAAAATACAACACATCTGAATAGATACAAAATAGTACCTTGCATGTATCCCTGTTTATGTTGTATGTAAAAAGTATATTACTAAATGGTCTCATAAACTCAGTTATGTGGTCATTTAGGTCCATTTAAATAAATATATCAAAAGAGCAAATTAAACTCTGATGCCTTTTATGCCTACTTAATGTTTGTTTGGTTTATCTCAAGTTACAGTTGCTTAGGCATTTCTGTGGAAGAATAAACTAATTTTCTTTGAGTGGTGGTGGCCAGTTGATAATTATGTGGCTCTGTATTGTTTCTACAGGTGTATATTCTGCTTTGTAGAAAATGATGCTTGGAATGTGGCATTTTTTTCTTTAGTGTGTTTACATTCACCAAGGGTCTGTAAGATGAGATAATTTTAAAAACCTGCTAATAGAGCTATTGCTAACTGTTGGGTGATTACACCATGGTAATTTCTCACATGGGACACAAAAATATCAGTAAAATAGATTATTAAAGCTGCATGTAGATCTTTTACTCCATTGCTATTGTAAAGATTTTGCTTCACTACTACAAAATCCTTTCACTTAATATGCTCCGAGGCTTAATTTTAATAATTCTCAGCCTGAAATACAAGAGTCTATTCATATCCTCTAAGTAATTACCAAGAATGTTCTTTTTTAAATGATTTTTTTTTTATTTGAATGGAATATAGGGAAAGGTAAATATCTTGAGCTTTTTTTTTTTCTGCTGATTCCTTCGAATTTCTGCAATGACGAAGGCTGGGCAGTGCCAAAGCCAAGAGTCTGAAACTCCTGTCTGATCTCACATAGCTGTCAGACACCTAAGAATTTGGGCCAGCCTCCTCTGCTTTCCCAGTCACATTAGCAGGGAGATAGATTATAAGCTGAGCAGCTGGATATTGAACCAGCACTCCCATGTCAGATCGTGGCATCTTCATCAGTGGCTTAAACTGTTGTGCTGCAGCACTGGCCCCTACTGGAAGTTCTCATCAATAGCGTATATGCTAAATCAGTGAATAGATGGCAAGAAACATATATAAAGATGTTTTTGTTTATAAAGTCTGATAATATGAGTAAAATATTAGCTGATTTCTATTGCTGTATTCACACAGTCTTTTTCATTTTGTGTTTTTTTTTTTAAGATTTATTTATTTTTATTGGAAAGGCAGATATACAAAAAGGGAGAGAGACAGAGAGGAAGATCCTTTGTCCGATGGTTGATGGTTCACTCCCCAGGTGACCGCAGTGGCCAGAGCTGAACCAACCTGGAGCCAGGAGCTTCTTCTTCGTCTCATATTTTTATTTTTAGAAATTTTAATATTTATTTGTCTATTTTAAAGATTTATTTATTTTTATTGCAAAGTCAGATATACAGAGACAGACTGGAAAATCTTCTGTTGGCTGATTTACTCCCCAAGTGGCCACACAGCCAAAGCTGAGCCAATTCAAAATCAGAGTTAGGGAGCCTCTTCTGGTCTCCCATGCAGGTGCAGGGTCCCAAGGCTTTGGTCCGTCCTCAACTGCTTTCCCAGGCCACAGGCAGGGAGATGGAAGGGAAGCAGGGCCATCGGGATTAGAACCAGCATCCATGTGGGATCTCAGCGTGTGCAAGGCGAGGACTTTAGCTGCTAGGCTATCGTGCTGGGCCCAGTTGTATAGTTTCTTAAAAGGCACATCAAAGTGTAGAATTATTGTCTTACAAATGATTTAATGTGAAGAGTCTTCTTATGCCACACACACCAAAAAAGAACATATGGTATGTAAATAGAAGATGCTATCCTCCCACTATTTAGAATCTGAGGCTGTTCTTGGGGGTTTTCTCTCTGGCAGGCCCCCAGACCACAGAGGGGGAGGCAACAGTGCTCTTCTGCAGCAGAAACACTGGAGTCAAACCCGTGGTGAAGAATGTCCGTTTATTTTAGAGAAGTCATAAGCTTCTCTCGATGTAAAATTTGCCTTTCAAATAAAAATAACAAAATCTTTTTTTTAAGTTGACATACTTTTGAAAGTATTATTTAAAATCCAGAACATCAAAAACATTAAACTTTTGATATAAGAAACAAACAAAAAATCTTTTCAAAAATATACAGGATCAGAAAAACACAAGTTAAGATTTTGAGGTTTACTTGGATACAAATTTAAAGCAGTCATTTCTTCTGTGTGTTAAGCTTATTCTGATGGTTTTGCAGTCTGTTCAGTGGGTGAAATTTTGGGCAAGACGTTAAAAAACTATCCCAACAAACAGGACTCGGGTACATTCATAATAAATCACACTTGACAAAAGACCTGCTGACCTGTCTTATGCCAAATGTTAAGTTTCTGAAGTTTAAATATCAGTATTTCCAGACCTGAACATTAAACAATGAAAATGGCTTTCTCAATTCAGCCCTTTTCAAAGAGAAAATGAATGATGAAAACTATCATAGGCTATGACAGAGCGTAATGGCATTTTTATACTGCACCCTTGCTCAATAAATAGGCTTAGAACTTTATAATAGGACCAGAAACCCATCCAGAAGACTTATCCAGATTATAGGGGTACACATGTATGGTCCTTGACAGAAAAATATCTTCTTCAATTAATTATATGCATCTGACTTCTTCCTTCTGTTTCTATCGCTATCGTGGTCTCTTCCCCAGAAAGGTCACTCAGCTTAGTTTTTGCTTCTAATTCACTGCTACAGATGTCAGAAAAATAACTTTAATTCCTAGCTATGACTACTGATTTGGAAAGAGGCTTTACCTCTTTAAACTTCAGCTTATCAGCTGTGTAAAAATAACACATACCTCCTGTCATCGTCTAATAGGTTACTCTAACAGGGAATAGCTGAAATGATGTATTTAAAAGTTACCTGTGAGTTATAAGCTTACATAGATTAGGGAAAGGGTTCATACAGAGGGGCAGTCCTGACCATACTTCCACCCAACAACAACATTGTGACTTGCCAACAGACATGTCTGTCTCTCTGGGCCTGCCATGAAGTTAAAGATCAGGAAGTACAGGAAGCTGTGGATCCTGTGAGGAAGGATTTGGGCTTCTTCCATCCGATGTGGGAGATCCAAATGAGGGTGGGTGACCTCAGAGTTCTCAGCCTCTGAAGGCACTCCAGTTTCCCGTGGTCTCCTTGGCAGTTGGGATGTAGTCCTTGGTGCTTGTACTGATAGTCCTTGGTGAGGGTCTGGGAGTCTTCAGGGTTGTGATACAAACCTCCTCCTGTCTGCCTGCTCTACTCTGGGGTCCCCACCTGCTCTGTGCATATGACCTCCTGTTAAGAGGTTGTTAGGATCGCTCCTGATTCCCCCCATATGCCTTTGTAGTTTTGCTATTGTCTAATGGCTGATTCAAGTCTGTTCTCTATGAGTTACCAGTTATGATCCTGATAGGTTATACTTCCCGTCTTCCTCACACGTTCTAGGGTGATGTAAGATTGCTCTGCTCTCTTATATCAAACTAAAAAGCTTCTGTACAGCAAAGGAAACAATTAACAAAGTGAAG